CAATAAAACCTGGTCTAATTCTGTAATTAACACACACTATTTTGTCAGTTAAACCTGGTCTAATTCTATCACCAACACAGTATTTTGTCAATAAAACCTGGTTTCGTGTAAGTTCTCCTCGAATGAAAACAACACAGTTTGTGTATATTTGGTCATCTCGTGTAAGTTCTCCTCGAAGAAAACAACACAGTTTGTGTATATTTGGTCATCTTGTGTAAGTTCTCCTCGATGAAAACAACACAGTTTGTGTATATTTGGTCATCTCGTGTAAGTTCTCCTCAATGAAAACAATACAGTTTGTGTATATTTGATCATCTCATGTAAGTTCTCCTCGATGAAAACAACACAGTTTGTGTATATTTGGTCATCTCGTGTAAGTTGTTCTCGATTATAATTTTGACTTACGTTCAAATGTTCTACTTTACAGCCTTATAGACTGAGCTAATTTGAGTGTTACCAACAGACAGACGAGCATTACTGACAAAATGAGTGTTCCAAACAGAAAATGGCATTTATTAGATAAATGTCCCTTTCCACCCGACCACTATTGATAAAAAAAAGGTTATAGTTTACATCAGTATTAAAACAGTACCTTTTCCGGTTCCAGTAAGTTAGATGATGTTTGAGTAATATCTTTGATGACCTGTTATGAGTTGGCACTCTTAATAATTACGTTAGTGATAAAGGTTATAGTTAAATCAGTATTAGAAACTATACCATTCCTGGTTCCAGCAAGTCAGTTGATGGTTCCTCTAGGCTCTCTTTGCACTGATGTAGGCAAGACAAAACTTCTGGGTTTTCAGTTTTCCCACGAAGAAGTGACAAACCAGCAAGATAGCCATGAAAATTAAACTGTGTCTTATTCTCTTGACCTGAAATGTAAGTAAAGTTATTACAATTCTCTTCTGCTTCCAAAAGTATGCATAAATCGTGTTATTTTTGTTATATGTATACATACAAATACATATATATGAAAGGTTGAAATCTGGATTAGCAAGTCAAAGGAGCTGTTGTACTTTTGGTAATTTTGTTAGATCAGTGCCCAATAGTGACCTTCAGTAACTAGTCGTTTAAATATGTTACAAAAGTCAAACTAGTGATAAATAACCTAACACATATCTTACAGAAAAATATTTTAAACTCAATCATGTAAAAAACAACAAAATACATAAATCTTGATTATATAACTAAAACTTGTATTACAGAAAATATGTCAACATTATTCCTGGTCTTACTGACAAAATAGTGTGTTAGTTACAGAATTAGACCAGGTTTTATTGACAAAATACTGTGTTGGTGATAGAACTAGACCAGGTTTTATTGACAAAATAGTGTGTGTTAGTTACAGAATTAGGATGACCAAATATACACGAACTGTGTTGTTTTCATCAAGGAGAACTTACACAAGATGACCAAATATACACGAACTGTGTTATTTTCATCAAGGAGAACTTACATGAGATGACCAAATATACACAAACTGTGTTGTTTTCTTCAAGGAGAACTTACACGAGATGACCAAATATACACGAACTGTGTTATTTTCTTCGAGGAGAACTTACACAAGATGACCAAATATACACAAACTGTGTTGTTTTCATCGAGAACAACTTACACAAGATGACCAAATATACACGAATTGTGTTGTTTTCTTCGAGGAGAACTTACACAAGATGACCAAATATACACAAACTGTGTTGTTTTCATCGAGGAGAACTTACACGAGATGACCAAATATACACGAATTGTGTTGTTTTCTTCGAGGAGAACTTACACAAGATGACCAAATAT